AAGTAACGGGAGCTCACTCCGTTACGCGGAGCTAAGTATTTCTGATCGACAAGCTGAGTGTCTTAGCCATTGAGCCACTGCTTCCTATATGGGATGTACTGGATGACCATAAATTCATTAAGAAGATGGGTAGTCCTCGACTTATGACCCCAACCAAGCCTCAAATTTCTGTTGCTAAGTAAAACAGTTGTTAAATGAATTTTCCCCCGGGGGTTGTGATGCAGGAGACTGAGTGCTGCCTGTCACATCCCCTGGCCATGCCAACCATGGCCATGCCCACGGGTCATTAGGGCAGAGAACCGGTTGTTATTAAATTATTTGAATCCCACCACTGGGCAACTGGCCAGACAGTAAGGACCCCACCCTCCAAAGGAACCAAAAGTTCAAAGGAGAAATATCAGGTGTGGTCTCCAAAATCATGGACAAAGGAGGACTATCCAATTTCCTGCAAAGATGGAAATTTTAATCCTGTACTTCACAACGCTTCTAGTCAAGCTAACAAGAAAAGCGTACAGAGAGAGGAACATCTGATGGCATCAGCTGCTGGGACAACTGGCATAGACATCTTAGAAACTCAAAGTTTACCACTCCTTAACTACTCAGATTGGCAGTAAAGCTGTCAAGGATAAAGTTGATCTGAGTTTTTTAGGGATCATGAGGTCCATAAACGCCAGAATCAATGACTGGGGAGGAATAACTAGACTCTCTCTCTCTCTCTCTTGCTTGTCCTACTCAAGAGTTCCCCAAAGGACTTGGCTGATTATTGTGAGAAAGGGAACGCCGGCCTCATTTACAATGACCCTTTCAATTTCTTGACTTCCAAGGAGGTTGTTTTCTATTTTTAAACGGAGCATTTAAAAAATCTTGATGATTTATTTATAGTGCTGATTACTGTGTATTACTTTCCAGGGTCAGGGTACAAGAATTCTGGGTGTGATTAAAGAGGCTAGTGTGTGCTGGTAGCCGTGAGGGAAGTAATTGCTGAAAATATGTCTAGGCAATGAAATCTAAGCCCGCTTACGTGAGACTATTGTGAACAAAGTCAAGGCATAAGTTGAAACTAAAGCTACCCAACAACAGCCTCTTGTGTTGATTGTGTAGATGTTTGGATTGTGCTGGTATGTGGCTGGTTGTAATCTGCTCTAAGAGCGGACACGCAGGAAGTAGACAAGTCTTGCTCAGCGCAAAAACTCAACAAACAGACTGTCGAAATATGCAAGCTACTGAATTGCATTTTGTCTTCCATTGGCTGGGTTATTATTATTTTTAACTTACCGTTGAAAAGCCAAACCAGTATAGGATGCACTGGAGTATAAGATGCACCAAGAATTGGAAGAGGCAAATTAAAGAAATTTTTTTTTGCACTCTGCAGACCTCCCAAAACCGGGCCCGTTTTTTGTCAAAAAAAGGGTATGCATAGCTTTTAGGAGACTTGTAGAGTGCTCTTGGGGGCTTGGAGGGGGAGGCAAAAGTGAGCAAAAAAACAGCACATTTTCCACTAGTTTTTTCAGCATGCCTCTTGGTTTTTTTTCCACGTTTTTCATGAAAACAGGCCCATTTTTTGTCAAAAAAGGGCATGCATAGCCTTTAGGAGGCTTATAGAATGCTTCTGGGGGGACAAAAACGAGGAAAAAAAACGCCCTGTTTTTCGCTCATATCTGCCCTCCCAAGCCTGCAGGAGCACTATGAAAGTCTCCTAAAGGCTGTGCACGGCCATTTTTGCAAATGGGTGGGCTTTCAGGAGGCCAAAAATGCTGTATTCAGTGTATAAGACGCACCCAGATTTTCACCCTCTTTTTTGAGGGAAAAATGTGTGTCCTATACTCCAAAAAATACAGTAACTCTGAACGTAAGAAAATAATAGGGGCAAATACAACCTTTTTCTTCAAAAGCCAGTTTGCCCAATAAATATTACTTTCAAAATCCAAATTTAAAAATCACCAAAGAAAGCAGAAACAGGTGTTCACACTTGTCCCAGTCAAATTCCAGCCAAAATAATTTTCTCCTGCAGTTACGGAAAGGAAACACACGCTAATCACACTCTGGGGGAGGATAATTTATACCCCTGCGCAACGACTGCTCTTCCTGTAGGCAACAACTGTGGATTTTCTCCCATGATCCTTAAAACTATATTCACAAGTTGGCTTAAAAAAATAATAATTGTCCCAATACATAGAAAGACAATGCAGTTGTATGGATGCTACTAACTTGAGTTGCCGAGGACAGCATATTCCAAATATTTGAGTCAATACGGGGGACCGGTTGTAAGTGGGATTTGTTACATGGTTTCTGGGTCATAATTCAATTAGTGGAGACACATAAGGCCTTGCTTTTCAAACAGCTTTAAAAGCTTATCATTGACACTAATGGACCATTTCTTCCACCT